TTTTTTTTTTTTTTTTTTTGCGGTACGCGGGCCTCTCACTGCTGCGGCCTCTCCCGCCGCGGAGCACAGGCTCCGGACGCGCAGGCCGAGCGGCCACGGCTCACGGGCACAGCCGCTCCGCGGCACGTGGGATCCTCCCAGACCGGGGCACGAATCCGCGTCCCCTGCATCGGCAGGCGGACTCCCAACCACTGCACCACCAGGGAAGCCCTATACTTTTTTTTAAAGAAATGGTGTCATGAGTTTCTCCATATATCACACCATGAAGACTAGAGTTTATTTGTGATCTAAGAATATATCTTAGGGGCTTCCATGGTGGTGCAGTGGTTGAGAATCTGCCTGATAATGCAAGGGACACGGGTTGGAGCCCTGGTCTGGGAAGATCCCACACGCCGCGGAGCAACTAGGCCCGTGAGCCACAACTACTGAGCCTGCGCGTCTGGAGCTTGTGCTCCACAACAAGAGAGGCCGCGACAGTGAGAGGCCCGCGCACTGCGATGAAGAGTGGCCCCCACTCGCCGCAACTAGAGAAAGCCCATGCACAGAAACGAAGACCCAACACAGCCAAAGATAAATAAATAAATAAATAAATAAATAAGAATATATCTTAGATCCATGACATTTCATAATTTAACGTTTGCATAACATTCCAATAGAAGGATTACCAAAAATGATTTAACTTGACCCTTATTAATGCACATTTAGGTTGTTTCCAATATTTTGCTCTCAAGAATGATGCTGCAGTAAGGTTTCTGTACCACACTTTTGTCATTATCAACCTCCCAATACTTACACTGGAGGAATAACTGGTTCAAAAACCATATGAATTTTAAATATGACAAACTAACACCCAAAAAATGACTGCTTCTGAAGAGTATCACCAATAAAGAATATGTTCAAATATTCTGCCCTTTTTAAATGGCTAGGCAAAAAAAATAATATTTTTTAAGACTGAGGTAGAGCATCTTTTCATATGTCTATAAGCTGTTAAAATAATATCCTATTTTTTAACCATCTGTACTATTCTACCTCTTTAAGACCACTTGAGTTTCATTCTTCACCACCGTCACCCCAAATCTAAGGTACTCAAAGAAAAAACTGGGTGATCAGAGTAAATGGCAGCAAAGTTTGCAGAACTGAAGTGTATGCATTCAGTGAACACTTACCAACCCCTTAGCCTGTGATGCTCTGTGCAAGAGACAGGGAGTCAAGATTCATGAGACACAGTTCTTAGCCATGAGAAGCTTCTAAGCTAGAGGAAAGGCCACGCAAATATAGACCGTGCAACAGAGAGTGGTAGAACCTCCCTGGAGGAATAAGAGAAATACAGAAAACAAAGAGAACGAGTCTCCAAAATAGTCCCAAAAGTTAGCCTATAAAAAGAAGCATATCTACTGGGTTTTGAAGTTTGAATAGGGGTTTTCTGAGTGGATAGTGTGTGTACTAGGGCAGAAGTAGAAAGGAAGACTGAAAGTTTGTCTGGTGGCATACTGTATTTCTGACCCATTTTCCCTTCCAGGTAACAGTAAATGGCCAAAAATATTATAGCCTTGCCCATCGACTCCCACCACAATCTGTGAAGTTTGTGCAAGTGTGAAGAGATGTCTCCCTATCCTCACTGTGTGTCTGGTAAAGAGGGATGTAACCAGACTCCCCATTATCAAGGAGGTCCCTCCATGTAAGTGACCATGTGACTCCCAGAGTTCACTAACAGATTGGCTCCTCCTCACCCTTCCCCAAAACTTGATCATTAAAACTTCTGAAAACTTAACAGGGTTTGGTTCTTGCTTTGCGGAAAAAAAGAGTAAGTGGTCATCACCAAGAGGGGTGTGAAAGTACTATAGAAAAGATCAAGGAATCTAAAAGGATAGCTATTTCTCTGACACAAGGAGTAAGGGACAGGGTCACTGAAATGTCTGCAAAGACATTAGTAAAAATATCTTTATATAGTACCTACTATATGCCAGACACCGAACCAAAACCCTTCCCCCATTTCAGACAACTAAACCAAGATATAAGGCATCTGTCTATATACACAAAGCTATAATTGGTGATATGGGGAAGAAACTGTAATTTGAGGGAAATCAGATGAAATTCATAAAAACTACTAGAACTGATCAACGAATTCAGCAAGGTAGCAGGATACAAGATTAACATACAGAAATCGGTTGCATTTCTGTCTCCCCAGGAAGAGGAGAAAATATGATAATGGTCACATTTACATCAAGCCAGATTTACTGTTAGAACTATCCTGATATCCCTATAGAAGTTGTGTTGTGGTTTTTTTTGTTCTACTTTAATAGAAAGTTTAAAACAAATATTTAATTGCTGACCTCAGAAATTTTGATAGTTATACACATATTTGGGAGTTTGTTGGTCTCATTTGGAGACTTCCTTTGGACCCTCCTTTATGTACCTTTTAAAAATAAAAATGGAAATATCTTTTAAAAAAAGAAATTGGTTGCATTTCTTTTTTTTTTTTTACATCTTTATTGGAGTATAATTGCTTTACAATGGTGTGTTACTTTCTGCTTTATAACAAAGTGAATCAGTTATACATATACATATGTTCCCATATCTCTTCCCTCTTGCGTCTCCCTCCCTCCCACCCTCCCTATCCCACCCCTCCAGGCGGCCACAAAGCACCGAGCTGATCTTTACACTAACAATGAAATATCAGAAAGGGGATGTAAAAAAAAAATTATCCCCTTTAAAATCACATCAAAAGAAAAAAAAATACTTAGGAATAAGCCTGACCAAGGAGCTGAAAGACTTATATGTTGAGAACTGTAAAACTTAATAAAGGAAATCATCCTTTCCTTAGGGAGTATTCTACTGCCACTTCCATAGTTTTTCAGAGAGTCAGATTTATGAATAACTCTGATTCACTTTTTCTTCTTATGTGGTTCTGTTTATTTAAAGGAAGAGACATATACTTTGATAAAAAAAATTAAAAAGGAGAGTGTTTAAAAGAAATCAAAGATGATTCAAAGAAATGGAACGATATCCCATGCTCTTGGATTGGAAGAATTAATTTCATTAAAATGGCCATACTACCCAAAGCAATCCACAGATTTAATGCAATCCCTATCAAATTACCCATGATATTTTTCACAGAACTAGAACAAATAATCCTAAAATTTATATGGAACCATAAAAGACCCAGAACTGCCAAAGCAATCCTGAGGAAAAAGAACAAAGCAGGAGGCATAATCCTCCCAGACTTCAGACAATACTACAAAGCTAAAGTAATCAAAACACTGTGGTACTAGCATATGGATCAATGGGACAGAATAGAGAGCCCAGAAATAAACCCACACACCTACAGTCAATTAATCTTCAACAAAGGAAGCAAGAATATACAATGGAGAAAAGACAGCCTCTTCAGCAAATGGTGTTGAGAAAGTTGGACAGCCAAATGTAAATCAAGGAAGTTAGAACACACTCTCACACAATACACAAAAATAAACACAAATAGGCTTAAAGACTTAAATATAAGACATAACATCATAAAACTCCCGGAGGAGAACACAGGCAAAACACTCTCTGACATAGATTGTACCAATGTTTTCTTAGGTCAGTCTCCCAAGGCAATAGAAACAAAAGCAAAAATAAACAAAAGTGACTTAATCAAACTTACAAGTTTTACACTGCAAAGGAAACCATAAACAAAACAAAACAACAACCTAAAGACAGGGAGAAAGGATTTTCAAATGATGCAACCAACAAGGGCTTAATTTCCAAGATATACAAACAGTTCATACAACTCAATAACAAAAAACAAACAAACAACACAATTGAAAAACAGGCAGAAGACCTAAATAGACATTTCTCCAGGGACTTCCCTGGTGGCACAGTGGTTGAGAATCCACCTGCCAATGCAGGGGACACAGGTTCGAGCCCTGGTCCAGGATGATCCCACATCTGTGGAGCAACTAAGCCCATGCACCACAGCTACTGAGCCTGCGCTCCAGAGCTTGCAAGCCACAACTACTGAGCCTGCATACCACAACAACCGAAGCCCACGTGCCCTAGAGCCTGAACACCGCAACTACTGAGCACATGTGCTGCAACTACTGAGCACATGCGCCACAACTACTGAAGCCCACGTGCCCTAGGGCCCACGTGCCACAACTACTGAGCCCACGTGCTGCAACTACTGAAGCCTGCACACCTAGAGCCCGTGCTCTGCAACGAGAAGCCACCACAATGAGAAGTCTCCACACCGTTAACAAAGGGTAGCCCCCACTCGCCAAAACTATAGAAAGTCCACGTGCAGCAATGAAGACCCAACGCAGTCCCCCCCCAAAAAAAGTCTACAAATAACAAATGCTGGAGAGAGTGTGGAGAAAAGGGAACCCTCTGACACTGTTGGTGGGAATGTAATTTGGTGCACCCACTATGGAAAACCGTTTGGAGGTTCTTCAAAAAACTAAAAATAGAGTTGCCATATGACCCAGCAATCCCACTCCTGGGCATATATCCAGATAAAAGTATAATCCAAAAAGATACATGCACTCCTATGTTCAAAGCAGCACTATTCACAATAGCCAAGATATGGAAACAACCTAAATGTCCATTGACAGATGAACAGATAAAGAAGATATGGTACATATATACAATGGAAGACTACTCAGCCATAAAAAAAAATGAAATAATGCCATTTGCAGCAACATGGATGGACCTATAGATTATCATACTAAGTGAAGTAAGTCAGAAAAAGACAAATAGCATACGATATCACTTACATGTGGAATCTAAAATATGACACAAATGGGACTTCCCTGGTGGTCCAGGGGTAAAGAATCCTCCTTCCAATGCAGGGGACGTGGGTTCAATCCCTGGTAGGGGAACTAACATCTCACATGCCATGGGGCAACTAAGCCCACGTGCCAAAACTGCTGAGCTCTCACATCTCAACCAGATAGCCTGCATGCCGCGAACTACAGAGCCCATGCTCTCTGGAGCCCGAGCACAACAGCTAGAGAGAGAAAAACCCACGTGTCACAACTAGAGAGAAGCCTGCGTGCCGCAGCTAAGACCTGACGCGGCCAAAAAATAAATAAATAAAAATAAAATAAAATATGACACAAATGAACTTTATCTGCGAAACAGAAATAGACTCACAGACAGAGAGAACAGACCTGTGATTGCCAAGTGGGAGAGGGGCAGGAGAAGGACAGACTGGGAGCGTGGGGTGAGCAGATGCAAACTATTACACACAGAATGGATAAACACCAAGGTCCTACTGTACAGCACAGGGAACTATATTCAATATCCTGTGATAACCCATAATGGGAAAGAATATGAAAAAGAATGTATATGTATGTATAACTGAATCACTTTGCTGTACCGCATAAATTAACACACTGTAAATCAGCTATATTTCAATAAAATAATTTTTTTAAAAAAACAGTGCTTCACGCAGATTTTTTTAAAATCAGGTGAAATTTCTTAATTCTTCCTTCATTCTAAGGATGTTTATTGTTTGGGGTTTTTTTGTGTTTTTTTTTTTTTTTTTTTTT